GGCTCAGGAATGGGAATGACCGGGCTATGGGGTGGTTCAGAAAGGTTTCAAGTGACGGGAAAGGAATGTGCCGTGACCCTGTGTGGTGGAGCTGTGCGTTCCCAGAGCATCCACCTCCAACACTGGAGTGTGAGTCTGGCAGTGCCCAGGTCCTGGGGCCCTTTAGTGTACGCAAAGCAACCCTCTGTTAAAGTTACTTTTGAAGTGTTTTGTAGTAATGCTGCTGTACTGTTTACAATTTTAAAATACATTTGGTTTAGACGTTGTACAGAAGCATGAGAAGTTTATACTGTTGTTTGTACTTAAATAATAAAGATAACTCCGTGAGGTGAGGCCAAAAGTATTTTTTTCCTTTCAAATGAACCTCGTGTGTATGTTACCTGTTGCAAGCCCAAACTCTTAAAACAGCAGTCATTTGTTATCTCTCTGTCTTTGTGCAGGTTGGGAATTCTTGGGAACTAAGTTTTGTTTTGGAGTCTTTCATTTTAAGAAGTTACAGGCAGATGGCAGCTGGCGCTGCAGACATCTGAAGCTTGGACTGGCTGGAGAATCCACACGCTAGATGGCTGGCTTACAGGCAGACCCTCGTGAAGCCTTAAGAAGCGTGCTGGCGCTTCTGTGTTGGCCTGTCACACAGAGCAACTGTCATTCCCTGTGGAGTAAATACCTGGAGGCGAGGATCAGTAGCAGCCATCTTAAAGGCGCAAATATGAGAAGACATTACTGTTTCTCCACAGTTTGGAGTCTGTACGGGCCTTACATGCTCTCCAAGGATCCTGAAGACAGGAAGGAACACTTTCTTTTTTGCGGGAAACGTGAAATTAAAAGATTAGTCACTGTGGCTCTTGAGCAGATGTTACCAAGACCTTCATGCCTTTCTCAGGCGTTGTATATACAATATTGCCATAAGGTAGGAGACTATATAATGTCTACAAATTTCTTGTTAAAATTTTCTGTGGAAACTACACTGACTTGCTTATTACATTGAAAGAAACTGTCAAGAGTAATACTGGGTTGTCATAGAGTATACTGTTTATGCTAAGAAAGGAAGTAATGGCCTTTTGATATCCACACATTTTCATTTTGTGAACAGATATTGAAATGAGCTGAGTATGGTGGCAGATACATGCGGTCCCAGGTACTTGGGAGTCTAAGGCAGGAGGATTGCAAATTCAAGGCCACTCTGGGCAACTTGGCAAGAACCTGCCTCAAAAACAATTTTTTTCAAGGGTTAGGTGTGAAGCTTAGTGGTAGAGCACTTTCCCTCGCATGCAAGAGGCCCTGGTGTGGACATCAGCACTTCAAAAGAAAGCAAATGAGCTAAAAGAGAGATCATACCTAATTTTGTCAGATCTGTTCATTAACATATTTAACCAACATCGATTATATGCCGGTCACTTTTGTAGTGCTCTATATACATGAATGAATGAAACAAAGCCCTGTCCCGTTTGGATGGAAATGAGATGAAGATTGTAAAGAAATAAATTTGACTAGCATGTTAAAAGGTAACTGTTATGAACGACAAAAGTAGAGCCAGGAAAAAAAAAAAAAAAAAAAGTAGAGCCAGGTTAAGGGGACTGTGAGTGTGTGACTGACGTGGGGAAAAATTTAGTTTTAGTAGAGCTTTATCAAGTTGGTCAGCTATAGTAGTCTGTATGTTATTAAAACTCATTGAATGTCTATAATCCTGGCATTCAGGTGGCTGAGACAGGATCACTACAACTTTGAGGCCAGCCTGGGCTACTACATACAGTGAATTTAAGGCCAACCTGAACTACACATTGAAACCCTGTCTCTGCAAAAAAAATTTTAAAAGTCTCCCTAAAGGAGAAGGGTATAACTCAGTGGTAAAACGCTTCCCTAATATGAGAGGCCCAAGTTGCATCCCCAGAAGTGCCCCACATACAAATTTATTGATGCTGAAACTCAGGTAGGTACCTGAAATAGCAGTACTGTGAATTTATTGTAACCCTTATCTAGAAATTAGGATTTGTGTTGAATTTTTAATACACCAAATTGACTCAGTTTTGTCTTCTTAAAATTATTTATAATGCTTGAGTTGCCAATAAAGAAGTTTAGTTTTAAACTAAATATTTTGATCATGTTTATAACTTTTAGTTGCTGCATTTATAGCTAGAGAGAGTTGGTAAACTTTGTCCTCAAAAAGAACTGGTTGAAGGTGGAGCCTAAAGGGTTGATGGATAGCCATATGAGATGTAATGGGAAAAAAAGTGAATGGTTAGATTTTTAAAAATTTTATTGCACTAAAAGATACATTGCCATTAATCCCCCTCTGTATGAACACACTTATCCCATTATTCCTGCCACTTTCTGAAGCAGTTCTGAAAGTTTTCTTTTATGCATGTCTTTAGTTGCACTGCCCTAGCTGCCTCAATGGGCTAAACTGATTCAAAACATTTCCCTTTCATAGTCATGTTGAGTTTGACTTTGGGGAAGAGCCAGAAATCAAATAATGCCAGATCTGGTGAATATGATAGATGAGGACACACTGTAATGTTTTTATGAGCCCAGTTTTCATTGGATGGCACTAGGCAGTATCATTTACCATATTTTTAATCTCACCTTGTAAAGACACAAAAGAGAACTTCCAGAACCTCTCCAGAAAGTAGCAAGAACAATGGGAGAAGTGTGTTCAATGCAAGGGGAAGTCTTTTGAGTGGGATGAATGACAAAGTATCTTTACTATAATAAATTTTTACAAATTTAAACATTTGCTGTATATTTTGATCACATATTATAGTCCGAAATACATCCTAACTCCACTGGTAGGAACTGGTGTTCATGAAACAAATAGAAATACAGTACTACACTGATCCTGTCCTTAATTGTAAATGTCTACGTTGCCTTGGTAGCTTTCACAGAAATTTCACCTGTGGTGAAATTTTCGCCTTATATCCTTAGCATATAAGAATAGTCATGAGAATAAGAAAATGTTCTTAGCTAAAAGAAATGGAAATGCACAAAGAAAATGATAAACATCTTGAGAATCAGTCCTCTTTTATATTTCCTTTCTTGGTTTAGTGTATATTTTCTTGTGAAGGGCTGTTTTGTTTTGGGATTTAACCCAGGGCCTTTGCATGGAATTATATCCCCACACCTCCTCTCTTCTTTTGGAGACAGGGTCTCCCTAAGTTGCCCAGGCTTGGTTCAGACTTGCAGTCTTTCTGCCTCAGCCTCCCAGACTGCTGGGATTCCAGGCATATGCAGCACCACTGCACCCAGCCTTATAGTTCTTTTGGACGGGGGTTCCTGAGTTTTTTTGTTCCCATCCGCTCTAAATTTGTGATCTTTCCATTTATTCTCAACTTTTTTTTTTTCTTTTTGGCTTTTTTCTCCGGTACAGGGAACTGAACTCACGACCTTGGGCTTGCCAGGCAGGCGCTTTTGCCGCTGAGCTAAATCCCCAGCCCCCTATTCTCAACTTTTTATGGAGTTTTGACACTGTAATTAACTGAGTTTAACAACACCTCTCACTTCCTTTAATGCTTTTCATGTCAAGATGGGGTTTTTTTATTTTGTTTTTAAGATTATGTTTAGTAGTTGAGAATTTTAAGACAACTTTGGTTATCTTAAATATCTTTACTTAATAACCATGATTGTACTAGAAAACCCAAACATTGCCAAAACTACAGTAGAACAACATGAGTCACTGTACTTAGGACCATTATGGATTTTGTTGACTGATCAAGCAGGAAGGTGTTTGAGGACTTGTTGCATGTGCCGTGTGTAACATGTAACATTCTTCTCTGTTTCCTGTTTCTTGCCCCTCGCTTTCCCCGGTGTGTAGGAGGCCCTCTTCATCACTCGCTTTAGTCCTCCGAGCCGTGGCATTCACGTGAATAAGCAGTGGTAGAAGCCTGTGGAACAGCTCATCTTACCAGAGGTGCGTGGTGCTGCCCGTCGGAGGAGGGTGGGTGCTGGCCGGGATGGGAGAGGAGGGAACCAGCTGTGGATATACTAAAGTGCAGTGCTTGCATTTCTACATCCAGAGAACTTCACCATCCCTCAGTGGGTCAGACCCTGTGTTTTGAAAGTATTTGTGTCACTGTGATTTATTGGAACTGTGTGACAGTTTCAGTGAGAAAGGGTAATATTAGATACTGACTGACAGACCAGTTACAAGCCATTTGGTAAATCATATAGTTTCCTTATCTAAAGAATAAAAAAAAATCAGTCTAGACAGGAGACAGGTCCCATTTTTAAGTTAAATGAAACTTCTCTGAAGGGTGAACAGTTAGGGTGAGGCCTGAAAACACATCCATCACCTTCTGGGCCTCTCTCAGTCCAGTCTAGGTACCTGGTGATCACCTCACATGGTTAGTGCCCCCACTGGTTCTGGAGTGACACTGCAGTGTGGTTATAGGGCATGGCAGAAGCTGGCATGAACGGATTTTTTCATGCATCTGCTTCAGTCCCTGCAGCCTATTTTGGTCTAGTCTGAGTACATTCCTGAACTCAGTGCTTTGGAACCTACAGAGTCATAGACATCTCTGAGATTTACTTTAGATCAGCTCTAGAGCTCATCCTACAACACCAAAGCTGAGCAGAGATTTGGAAATTAGACTATTAACCAGCCTTTCCAACTAACCAGAGTCTTCGTGCAACAACAGAACTGCATTCCAAATCTACGTTTTTTGATCTGTATGCTAGGAGATTTTTTTTTTTTTTTTTTTTGGCACCGGGTGATCTATATGCTATAGGTTTAAGAGTACAAATTGTTAAAACTAATGTGCTAGTTCTGTGACTATCAAAAGGATTTCTCTTTCACTTATATATGAGCTTCCATTTGAAAACATGTTTATCCAGACGTGGTGGTGCACCCCTGTAATCCCAGCACTTGGGAGGCTGAAGCAGGAGGATCACCACGAGTTTGAGGTTAGCCTGGGCTACATAGTGAGTTGAAGGACAGCTTAACTACATAGCAGGGACCTGGCTCAAAAAAAAAAAAAAAAAAAAATTAAAAATTACAACATCTTTGGCTGGGTGTGGTGGTGCATGCCTGTAATCCCACACTTGAGAGGCTGAGGCAGGAGGATGGTTGCGAGTTCGAGACAGTCTGGGCTACAAAGTGAACTCAAGGCCAGTCTGAACTACATAGCAAGACCTTGTCTCAAAAAGCAAAAAGGAAAAAAAAAAAAAAAAGAGAGAGAGAGACACAATAGGAGAGCGCAGGGCCCTGCGCCCTGCCGAGTGCCCTGCTTCCCGACCGGGGCTTCGCCTGCTCACTCCTTCGCTGTGTAGGGGAGGTGGACATCAATGTTAGCAAATTCAGGGCTGAGGGTTTAGCTCAGCGGCACAGCGCCTGCCTGGCAAATGCAAGGTTGTGAGTTTGATTCCCAGTACTGAGGGAAAAAAACCCCAAACCCCTCCCCCGCAAAAAAAGCAAAACAAAGCGAACTCACAGCAGTCCCTGTGGCGAAAATATCATCTGAAACATTAAGGAGACAACTGATTTTGGAATAAGAGATCTGGAAAAGTTGGAGAAGATAAAGTATATTCAGTAGTATCCTTATCAGAAGGCCAACAAAAGAGGAAATGCACAACTTTGAGGATGAGTTAATGTGTCCCATTTGTTACACTATATTTGAAGATCCTTGTATACTACCATGCTCTCATACATTTTGTAGAAGTTGTTTGGAAAACATTCTTCAGGTATCTGGTAATTTTTGTATATGGAGACCTTTAAGAATTCCACTCAAGGG